GGCCCACGCTGCGCCTGGGCTGGGACTGGTCCCGCTGGCGCAGGGTAGCAGGAAGCTCTCCACACACTCACCGGACCTGGGCTAGGACTGGGTCTCATAGCTTGCCTTCGTACTCTAACTTTTTCACTCCTCTCCTAAATTACCCAGCCAGAATCCTGCAGTTCTTTATCCCTACAGTTGTTGAGTTGGGCATTGTCAGAGATAAACATTTTTCATGCTTGCCAAAGGCAATAAAACTGTTTAGATGCCTACGGACTTTGCATCCCTTATTATGCCTTATTATTACTATTATTGACTCGACATATATGCAGAAATCACAGTGCATCTTCTCCATTATTCCTGACATCATTTTTGCATGCGTGAACATCTGGCTTGATGAGCCAGTGTCTGACCCAAGGTTGCAGTGGGTTATTTCCTTGGCCTTCTTGTTTCCTTTGATCTTTTCCTTTATTTTTCCTCTGCCATTGGTTCCTCCACCCTCTAACACACCAAAGAATTACATAACATAAAGTATCAAAAATGAGATGTAGGGGAGAGGTTCAAAATGATGAAACTTTTTGACTCAACCTGTCAATCAAAAGATGTAAAATATCAGGCCCTCAAGATTGACAGACCCAATCCAGAAATGGGCATCTGACGTGAATATACACTTCTAAGAGGAAGAAGTACAAATGACGAATAGATACATGATAAACTTTCAATAGCACTGGTCATATGAGAAAATCAAAACAACACTGATATTCCATCTCACCTCAAAAAAATTGCTGTCATAAAGAAATCAAGTAATAACAAATGCTAGAGGGGTCGTGGGGGGGAAAAGAAAAGATAGTGGTTGATGCATTGTGTCAACTTCGCTGGATCACGTAGGCGGTTCCAAGTCCTGGGGTGTGGGGACCCTCTAGGGCGGGGAGGGTCCACCCCAGAGTGACTCAGCACAGAGAGGATCTATAAAAGGGTTGAGGAAGGATTTGGCGTTTCACTTCCTCATGGGAAGTTCAGTCTTCCTGGCTTTTCCCTTCAGACCCATCTGCCGACTACAGACTGCACGGAGCCCTGCGGTGCTCTTCAGCCCTTGGGACTGAATCCTTCAATCTCCGGAGTGCAGATGCCCTCTGCACGCTTCCTCATCCAACTCTGTGGCTGACTGTAGTAAACTAATTCTGTAATTTCTTATACAATTGTGCATCTTGGGTTATAACCGTTCCTTGTATTGTATCTATTCCTCTAGTAAAACTCTGACTGATAGAGGAACCCATCTCTGCTGTTGGGAATATAGACTAGCACAACCTCTGAAATGAGTGTAGAGATTCCTCAGAAAACTGGGGTTGGAAGTCCCATTCAACCCATCTAGTTCCCGTCTAGGTATTTTTCCAGAAGAATTGAAAACATCGTATCACAGTGAGATCTGTGCACCCATGTTTATAGCAGCACAATTAGTTAAATCTTGGAAGCAACCTGAATGGCCATCATGTGAGAAATAGATAAAAAAGCGGGGGTGTTTTTATGTAACGAAGTCTTACTCAGCTACAAAGAGAAACTTGAGGCATTTATATGTAAGTGGATGCAACTAGAGGCTATACTCATAAGTGAAATAAATCAGACCCACATGTGTAAATGTTGTATTGTCTCCCTAGTGTGAGAATCTGAAAGAGTAAACCAACTCTGAAAGTTACCATAGATGCAGGAAGAGGGAAAGAAACTGAACGGATAATTGGGGTTGGGGAAGAAAGAAGAGATGGAGAAAAAGGAAGAAAAAAAATCATGTATGTTTATATACTGGATAGTTAAGATGACTGTATTACTAATTTCTATCAGTTTTTTTTTGAAGACAGCAGTTAATGCTTAACATTTTTACTTTGACCAACTTTATATGTTTATATCTATAACCTGAGCAGCTGTTTTGCAGACAATCACTGTTGAATACCTGTCATCTTATTTTTTAAAATTCTGTATTGTTTCTAATGTCCTATCTATTATTTTTCTAATCCCTTTGAAATGAATAAATAAACAAATAAAAATAAATAAAAACAAACCTTCTACCCAGGAATACTGGGTATAAAGATAAAAACCTTTTCTCTCAGCTCTTTATTTTTTACTGTTTAAAGTTAATGTCTTGTATTTTGATATCTGCCAGTTTCTTTCAGGGCATAGAAAAATTACAAATACTGGATTCCCTCGGCAACAGAGCTTTTTATTCTTTTTTTAACCTTTTTGTTACCACATTTATTGATAATTTAGGCCCAATTTTTCAAACTTGCAGCCCATGAACTAGATACAGTAATATGATGGCAGATACAGTAATGCCTTGGTTAATAAACACTTCTGTTTATGAACAGTTCAGCTCACAAACAGAAGAAAGCATTGCTCCCTCGCGAGAGCTGTCCATCAGACAGTCTACACAGCCACAGCCATCTTTCCCAGAACCATGCAACAAATTAAGGTCAGAGCTTTTTAGAATGCCATTAAGCCAGATCCTGGAGCACCGCTGGCTGGTCTCGGCTGCAGGGATGGGCTGGAACTCCACAAAAGGAAGCTGTTCAAGAGTGGTCACGTGAGTTCTGTGTTCCGCAGGTGAAGGAAATTGCAACTGCTGTCTCCAAAAAGAAACCTCTCTGGGAACTTTCAGAGCAGGCGAAGAGTCTGAGTGTAAGAAAGACGAACAGACCAGTGAGAAAGGTGAGCCTTTTTCTTGGACATCATAAAACCCAGGAATGCACTGAGTCTGTAGGTCACTGTCTTCAGATACTTCAAAAGTAAGTTTATCTTCATTTTTTTTTGCTTGTGCAATGCAATTATAACTGTTTCCAGATACTAAATATCAAATATCTGTGAAGAATTTGCTTAAAATTTAATTCAATATTTCCAAGTATCAGCGGGTATTTTGCACAGAAAAGACTGTGCAAATAAATAATTTTTTGTAAAAAAAAATGTGACTGTTATAACACAATGAGGCTTAAAAAAAATAAGGAAATATGCCCATAGGCTGGAAATTTGCTGATGGATAGGTCATAAGAAACTTAAATCTTTTAGCTGATTTGTTTTATGACTGATTATGAGTGCATTTGCAAATGCATACAGTGTACGAGTTTATTGGAGAGCAATTTGCAGGATTTTGTTTGTACTTCAGTGTGAGACTTTCTACTGTTCGCATTTGATGAAACCTTTCTAGGGTTTCTGCCTCTCAGTCTCAGACTGATACTCTTTAAATGGAAGATACTTTCTTGCATCTCTTACTCTTGTAATATATGTGTGCTGGATCAGATGGAGAGACGCACAGGTTTCATCCCTACTGTACGAGCCCCTGTCTTTTGCCATTCGGAGTTGTTTGTAACCAACAGCTTTCCTTTCTTTATCTTCCTTTCCTGTGGTGAAGCATAAGGGTTCCTGCTGATTTTAACATTAGCATGACAGGAAAAGATCCGAATCTTGACAGTGATGCTCTGAACCATGAAATCCATCCTAACAAGTCCGTGCCTTACTTTTTGTTGAGAATGCACTACAGTGCATAGATGAATCAGGGAGAAAATGTGAACATGGGAGAGCTTAAGGTGCTCGTTCACGCTAAGACTTCTTTACAGTGGCAAAACCACAGACATGGGCATCCCCCTCGCTTTGTCAGGCTACCCTGGGCAGTGACTGATTTTATAGTCAGGAGATCAAGGAACCCTGACCTGACACGTTTTTCCTCCTCTATAAGACTGTCATTCTGTGGGCTTTCTGTCTGCTTCTCTCCATCAGCTGCTTCCGCTAGCTTTGCCTCCCAGTCTTGCTGACCAGCCATGTGCAGCTTCCTGCCCAGCAGTAGCCTCTGAGAGCACAGTCCCACAGTGCTTTCCATTGCGAATTTCCCTTACATTCTTCTCTGACCTTTGACTCTAGGGAATAGTACCCCCCCGTATATGATTCTACCTCATGAATGGAATCATGATTAGGGTGTTTTGCGCAGGGACACACCATTCCTATCTCTGTGAAAATACTGCAGAAAAGCTATGCTGGCCTTTCTGCAACAACATGGAAAACAAAAAGAAATAATTTCCAGCACATTTCAGTACCTAAAAAGCCGACTGATACAGCCAGGCCAGCGCAGAGCTGCAGGTTTTGTGCCTTCAAGTCCTGTTCCATTTTATATACGCCATCATGTCATGCTTCCCATAAAACCAATGTACTTTACAAAGTAATATTTTCTGTCATTCAGACTACGAAATCTATTTTCTCATACAACTGCAGACTTTTATGAATCTATTATGAACAGTTGCTGTTCTGTACAAAGATTTTAGGAAGTGCCAAGCACAACGTATTTGTATAGGGTCTGTTGATTGGGCTTATTGAAAGATGTAAAATTCAACCACACACTGAAACCTGTCCTCTTGGGATAGAAATACAGTGCTGCTTCAATAGAATTTATATGAAGTCCCACATTTTGATGGTTAGTTTTGTTTGTCAACTTGGCCAAGTTGTGGCCAGCTGTTTGCTAAAGACTAGTCTAAATGTTGTTAAAATTTTTCTTAGGTTAACCTTTAAGATAGTAGATTTTGAGAAAGCAAATTGCTATCCAAATTGTGAGGGGCTTCAACTTAATCAGTTAACACATACTGAAGTTCCCCCCTCAAAGAATATAGCATTTCTTTCACGATTGCAGCCTAGAAGTCCCGCTTGTTTCTGGCTTGTAGCCCTGCAAGAGCTGGACTCAAGAACACAACATTGACTCTTTCCTCAATTTCCAGCCTGCTGGCCTCCTTTACAGATTTCAAAACTGCTACCCAGCAGTTGGATGAGCCCAATTCTTTGAAGTCGATTGATGTCTCTTTTCGGTCATATTTAGTGTATGTGCACATCAGAAGACAGCTAGATACAGGTATGCCCTATGGAGTCCGTTCCCTGGAGATCTTCGACTGGCATGTGCACCAACCTTTACAAAGACCCCTTCTGTGCTGAGCAACTCCTTCAGACTAGGGAGAACTGCTGAGTGTGACCAGCTGCTTGTGCCCTGCTGATCTACACGGTTCATCTACTTCCTGCTTACTCATTCTCAGGCTTCTTTCAGGGTGCTCCAGATATAACTGACTTCATCTCTGCATCTCTACTCTGTCTTCCACACACACACACACACACACACACACACAGAGCAGAAGTGCCACTGGGTCACTTCTTGGAAATTACAGCTATGTCCCTCTGCCTCTCCTCTTTTCCCAGGACATTGCCCAGTAACTCCCTCCAAACCATGCTGTGAAGAATTACTTTATTTCCCATTTGTAGACCAATGTTGGTACAAACACTGAACATGTGCTGTAAGGTGACAGAAGTTTTACATTGTTCTAGAAGCTGCTAAAGCAAACTCTTCACTCTCCTACCCATTTTTATGCGCACCAGAAGCCAAGCTTGCCTTCAGTGGAACCATCCCACGTGGCCAGCATAGAATGGCTGAGGAGGTGCTCATGGTCATAAGTACCCTTCATCTGGCAAGAGCATGCAAGAGACTGAGTGCTCAAGTTTGACTAACTTTGCACTGCCTGCTGCCTCAGTGGAAGGTGCAAAAGTCATCCAGACCACTTAGCTCTATTCCCAAGTTCTCCAACTAAAGCACAATCATCTTGTTTGTATTTAGCGTACCAACCCTCTAAGACTATAACCAACTTCTTTTTCACCCATGTCACCTTGACTCTTCCAGACAGGAGGCTAAAAAACGTAGGTCAGAGTCCACAGGTTCCTAAGCTAGCTCCAGACATTCTGAATTCATCTCAAGGGGATGCCTCCCACCACCTCCAATACTGCACAAACTACGGTCCTTTCACAGTAACTTGTGAAGTCAACATGCACACTGATTCAACTCACGATTGTTGGAAAGTATCTTCTCTTGTGTATCATAAGCAAAGAAGGTGGAACTAAAGCTCTGTACAATGATAAGAAAGACACTGACCATGTTTGGTCCTTCCATATGTAAGAACCTAATAACTGCAATTTCTTTTCTAGGCTCACCACCAAGATACCTTGGTACATGGGGACAGAGAATCATTATATTTATTATATAGTTCTATTTACATTGTCAAGAAGTGCAGAATAATTCAGGCCCGAAAGTCTGGCATGTTTTATATTTTAATAGCACAGTGTGCTCCTAGAAGGGAGGTGCAGATCAAATTTTCCTCCCAAGGGGAATGAACTTGTGTACTTCTCTCAAGTCCTATGAGTATCAGTGAAATAACTTCTGTAATGTCTCTGAAAGTGTTTTTAGATATATCCGTTGTGAAAGATTTATATGGTAGAGAGTCTCAGGATGCAAATGCATTAATGCGTGTTTATCAAATGAGTAGATTTGAGAAATCACATTGTTGAAAAAGTCTGCGTGAAAGGAGGAGCAGAAGGCACGAGTGAGTGATCGACTGGCTCAGGGGAATTCCAGGGCCTGAGCATCTTTTAGGAAATGTGGGGTAAACAGGGCATTCATTATTTTCATAAAATGTTTTCTTCCTATGAAGGTCTTTACCTCTATTTCTCTTTCTTTAATGAACAGAAATATGGTGGCAAGAAAGATCAGTGTGTGGAAACAAACATGGGCCCTATTTTGCAAGAACTTGCTTAAAAAAAGGAGAATGAAAAGGGATACTGTGATGGTATGACATGATGTTTATGTCACTTCGTATGTTAAATTCCATAACGTTCCTAATTTTGAGGGGATTTTTACTATTTTCTACTCCCTTTTTTTTTTTTTAAAGTAAATATATAAAACACACTTCCATCAGAGGCAAATCTCCTTCACAGACTGCCCCTGAATCATAAACCACATCTCTAAGTCATGAAGGCAGAGGCAAAAGGTTATAGGTAAATGTGATAAAGAAGGTAACAACTGAGATTCAATAAATATTTAAAAGTTTAAAAAGATGCTTAAGAAAACTAATAGTGCTACGCTCATTAATGCCAAAATTAAGATGCTCTAAGCTGAAGGAACAACAAGTGTGTGACCCAACAGACACAATTTCTGGGAGGAGGGACTTATTTTTGGACCTGCTTTTTAAAAAATTATTTATTTATTTATTTGTTTATTTATTTATTTAATTGGTACGGGGTCTCATTATGCAGCTCAGACTCATAGTGATCCTCCTGTCTCAGCCTTCCCAACACTGGGATTACAGGCGTGCACCACCACACCTGGTTCCAGTGGCCCATGTAACACCCCCAGAGTTCTGGGTCTGGTACAGCATGTGGTACAGGGGATTGAACCCAGGACCTTACACTTGACAGACAGGCACTTAGACTGTCAAGCTATCTCTCCAGCCCTTGGATCTGCTTTTCTTCTTCAACAAGCATTTGGTTTAGGGGCCAGGGAGATAGCTCAGTGACTAAAGTACCTGCCTAGCAAGTGCAAGGTCCTGAGTTTGATGCCGAGTAAAACAAGCATTTGGCTTCCTAAGAAAATAGAGGGGCCTGCTAGATAGCTCCACAGATTAAAGTGCCTGCTTAGGCAGACTCAGGGACTGGGGTTCAATCCCTGGTGTGCCATGCTGGCCTCACCCCCAGGGCATGCTGAGACGGTGACTGAGATGGTGTGGTGGTGAGCGCCTGTAATTCCAGTGCTTGAGAGGCTGTAAACAGGAGGATCACTCCGAGCCCATTCTGTGTAGTGAGATCCTGTAGACCCAGTACTAAATTTAAAAAAGAAAGAAAGAAAATAGAGACTTAGGGTCTGCAAGATAGCTCAGTGGACTAAATGCCTGCTTAGGCAAGAGCACAGACTCGGGTTCAATCCACAGCACCACATGCCCCACCAGCCCTGCCCCTAAGCACACTGAGTCAACACCAGGTCGGGCGTGGTGGTGAGCGCCTGTAATCCCAGTGCTGGGGAGGCTGAAAACAGGAGGATCCCTACAAGTGCAGACTGTGTAGTGAAGCCCTGTACAAAACACATACAAAAAAAAAAAAAGGGAAATAGAGACTCCAGGGAGCTGATTCAACATGGTGAAGAAAAAAAAAAATCACCATTATTTCTTAAATTCTTGCTATTTCAGTGTCAGTCCAGTACATCCAGGTGGCATTTCCTGTTTAAATTGTTGCTGACTAAGCATATATTCAGCGTATTTCTTTGGAAGGCAAAGTCTTCTGGAAATTTAAAAAGTGCACAGTGATTTTTTATTTGTAGTTTGCCTACCATACCAGGCCAATATTCTAAAGTCCCTGCTGTTTTTAAATTTTTGATCTTGCCATCTTGAAATGTAGGGCCAGGAAGATAGCTCAGTAGAATAAGTGTTTGCTTGGGAAGCACAAGGTCCTGAGTTCAATCCCCAGTACCAGAAAAAGAAAAAGAAGGAAAGAAAAAAGAAGGAAAGAGAGAAAAAGAAGGAAAGAGAAAAAGAAAGGAAGGAAGGAAGGAAGGTAACCAATGTTTCAGTTTTTCTAAAGAAGCTATGCGTCAGAACTGTCTTTTGCACATAATCATGCAGTAAAATCAAACATATTGATGGATCACGTTACACCCCCGTCACGGTGCAGCACTCAAGGCCTCTGATGGACACTAGAATCCAGTGTCTGGCACTAGCTTTAGAAAGCACTCAACTTCACTGTCATGAATAATTTATTGGAACTAATGATGCTGCTCAACTTCTATCTTTGCACATTTTTAATGTGCGCCTACTACAAGGGATGACTCAGAAATGTAGCCAAGCAGAAGCACAGCTGTAGGAAAGAACTAATTGTGACTGGCTTATTTGATGTTGCTATTTCTCTCGGTATATGTAGGAATGGTTTTACTCAGCATTCTTACTTGTGGCCTTGTACACTTTTTCCACAATTCCTGATGGTGATGACTTTTCATCAAATCATTCTGTGGAGCTGGGACGCATAGATTCATTCAAACATCCCACATTCGTGGTTGCATATGCACCATTCAACCAAACAATGAGAAAGATAATGAAGAAAGCTTCCTCTGCCTCCTCCATGACGGGTGAGTTTTATATTAAGCCAGGAGGAATTGCCGCATTTAGTTCACAATGTCACACATGAATACAGTTAACGTGTAGTCAGTAAAATATTTGCTGTCAAAAATTTCAGGTAATTTGGAATGTTAGTATAATTTCCCTTCATTAAATAAAAGGCCCCAAATCATGATCTGGAAACAAAATGAAGCAAGGGAGAAGAAGGTTTATAGTGCTGGTTCTCTAAACAAAGGAAATGACTAAATTATATGTAGATTTTTGGAAGCAGAAGACTGTGGACTTCAAACTGTGGAGTGTTTAAGTGTTTGTTGATAACAGCCTGCTGCTATTCAGGCCCCGGCCAGCCGTCTCCAGGTGGCCGGCCGCGTTCTTGGCCAATGAGCACTGAGCAATACCCTCTCTTGAATTTTCCAATCTGATCACTTCTCAACACCCAAACAATTTTTGTCCTTCAAATGTGAAGGTCCTATATAGGTGTATGATATCTTCAAAATCTGTCCTTCCTGCCCAGTGTGGAGGTGTATATGCTTGGGTGGCTGTGGCGGGAGGATTGCTACAGGCCAGCCTAGGCTGCCCAGTGAGTTCAAGGCTAGTGTAAATTATAGAGCAAGATGCTGCCTCACAAACAAAATAAAACAGAAAGAAAAGCAACTCACAGAACAGTTGGGCAGCTATCCATGAGCATATCAGATGACAATTATCATTGTATATAGAGCTTGGCAACATTTTCTTTTCCTTTTTTAAAGTAACATTGGGCTTGAAATCAAAGAACTTTTGGTTACTGTAATCATAGCGCTGAATCATCTTTATCCCTATATATAATACATTTTTGATGACTTTGTTTTATTTGCATAACTCAATACAGTACTGTCACGTATGACAGCATGTAACATTGCATTGTGTTACTTTATTGAATAGTACAATCAGCAATATATAATACCTTATTAATGACATACTATTTATTGGGAACCTTTCATTGGTAAGTGAATCAGAACACATCTATTTTTAAGTAAAAATGTAATGTTCAACTGTACTTACTCTAAATTTCTTAATTTTTACAGTTTCAAAACTTTAGTTCTAACCAGATTAGCCATGAAAGAAAAGCACATCATTCCTAATATTCTAGCTCATAGGTCCCCCCTGACAGATTTGAACCTCCAAGCCACATATTGGTAAGCAAAGAGGAAGTTTGAGTTCCTCCTCAATCTCAGCAGGCATAGGAGGAAGAGGAATAGTAACTGGGAGGATAAAAGTAGCAGCGTATTTTTCTTTGTACAACCATATACACTTAACACAAAATGAAAGAAACCCTTTAAAAATTCCTCCATGAAGGTTACTCCATAAGTGTGATTTAGAGTTGATGGTGAAGTCATCCCAGCAGGAAGCTGACACTACCTTGGAGTACCCAAATCCCCCCTCAAGAGCACTGTAGACTTCCCTACAGGTTGCTGGATATCTATATAACTATTCTTACCCTTTAGAACAACTTCTGTCCACACTGGCCCATGGCAATATTCCATTTGCCCCGAATCCTCACTCCACAAAGCAGATTCTGTCTTCAGAGATTCCCCAATCACTGCAGCACAAGGGCAGCCCTACCATGGAGAGATTCCGTGGCCAGCTCCCTTGTGACACCGGGCTCTCCTTCCTGTCTGTGCTTCGGGGCCCACTGCCAGCCTGTGTGTGTGAACTACCCAAACTTGCTTTCCTCCAGCACCTCAGCACACATCAGCCCACTCCTTTCAGCTAAATCTCCACCTTTTCCTTATGCCTCCCACCTACCGATGCTGAATTCACTTCTGATTCAAGTCCACACCCGGATACAAGAGTTCACTGAGGGGGTCACCTTCAATGTGTACCAAGAAGTGCTTGGGCTCATTTTGTGCTTCATGGATGTCCACAAGAGTTTGAAATTATGCTTCTGAACACTTAAGGGCATATGCAACAACGATAATTGTTCGATGCATACCATCTGCCATATTTTTAGAGTTTAATCTCACAATGCCCATGTTGTTTTTAAGATGATCGAGGAATAAATTTCTGGTCACTTGCCAAGTAGTCCACAGATTTAGGGTAGGCATTAAGGGTTAAAATCCATTTCTATCACAACACATGATGTCTGGTCCTTCCCTTTTATGGAAATGAATATGACAATGAAGAAACAAGTGTTCACTGTTCATTTAGTTTTTGTCCTATATTTATATGAAATTTTATATGTACATTGCTTTATAGAGTTGAACATAATATCTGTGGAAAAATAGAAATTATGTCTGTGATAGCCACTTTGCCACTGTACTGTTTAACAACTTTATGTTCTTTTTGGATGTGTTACTCATACATAACTATTTATAAGGAAAATAGGATTTTCACAGTTTCTTCCACTGATACAAAACAGGGCTGGTTGAGCTATATAGCGTGTTCATGGTTTTACACTGTTGGAGGATTTTTAGATGTGTAACTTTTCTGTTTAATACTCTAGGTGGAATTTTTTTGTGATACTTTATGTCACTGACCTGGTTAGTTAATGACAGAGTATGAAAGAAAATTAATTCCCATATATTCCTTCTGATGTTATTTAGAGTGTTAGAAATGTATTGTTCTCATGCTTATTTTGCATGATTTATTGAATGCCATTGTGTGATTTGGGTTCATTTTATAAAAAACAAATCTATATGAAGGAATAGGATACGCTTTCCCAGAGTCATTATTTTTACTAATTCATTTTATAGTGACTTCTTTTTTCTTGTAATGGCAGGAATAAAAATAATAGCTCTTCACGACAAAGAAAATATGACAGAATTAATTTCTATTCCCCAAGAAGATGTAGTGAGAGTTGTATTTACCAATCCCTTCTCTTATCATCTGAAGTTCCTCCAAGGATTTCGGAACCCAACCATGCTAAAGCATCGAGACCATTCAGGTAGCATTCCAACAACAAAACTTTACCCCTTTCAATTTCTATTACACATTGCAGCATAAGTAAGGATATTAATTATTACAAGATGATCAGCTTCAAAAACATGGTAACTTTGACCATTGGTAGGTTATATAAGCTAGAAATGGTATTCGAAATATATTCTGGAAGAAGAACATCTTTCTTAAACTATGCTCAAGTGAAAGATAGGAGATTCTAGTGCCCACTAACTAGGGTGTTGTGATTATGCTCTTTAATAAAGTTCTATAGATTTCTCAGTCTTTGAAAACAAGAAATCTGTACTTCACTAGCAACTTTAAGGTGAACACAGCCTGCATTAGCAGGAGACTTCTACATTAGGTTGGATTTTCTAAAGGCTGAATTATAAATGCAGGAGAGTGAGAAAAAAGTCATGCTTCACCAATGAAACAGAAGAAGGGAGGGCTTATGTTGCAACTTGGGCTCTGGGTGGGGCAAAGAAAAATCTTGTGTTGGTAATTTTTAGCATCTTTTTATGTAAGTTTGCAGTTCACAGTTACACCACTTACACTGTAATGGAACCCCAATTATAAACATATTTAAAAAAGAAAGTGGATTAGTTTCATGCTGAGTGCATGTTTATCATTTTAATAATTTTATGGAGAAATAAATAGCAATGAGACAGTTTCAAACCCAATTACTAGCACAGTTTGAATAATTGATACATTGCATATTGTTGTCTTAGTGGTTATTCATTGTACAGGATGCAGACATGATATCCTGTCCACAAACACTATTAGGACAAATCTCTCTATTCACCGAGTTAAGAGAATGCAGCTGTGTATCTATTCTAACTATTTTGAGTATACAGATATAAAGTGGTTGTTCATTTATATCCCCTTTTTTGTTTAGTTTTGTCAGAGAAGGATATTCCATTATCATTTAAATATTTTTTAAAATTATTTTTATTTTTTTAATTATTTTTTGACAACTCATACAGAATTTTACTTAACAAAGTAATATGAATTTCACAGTATTTGTTGTAATACATGGTACTGTCTTACAACCAGCTATTCATATTACCAGATATTGGAAGAAGAAAAAACTGGAACAATGTATAAGAAATTAAGAAAAGGAAAAGTAAAAACAATTATTTAAATATTGTAGGTGCATGAATTCAGCAAAATATCCCAATATAGTCCAGTAGTCCATAATAGTAGTGGGTTTTCTGTAGGTCTGGCAATGTCAGAAGTGGTTGACTTGAGCCTTTTACAGCTCAGCATATTAATACGGCTTTGCTTTTTATGCTTCATTTTTATACTTTTCTGCTGGATGGTTAAGACCAAAATAAAGCAAGACCTATATAACAAGTAATGTAACTTTTGTATTTGATAAAGTCAGTCAAGTCCCCTCAGGATTTATCCTGAAACCCTGTATGGCAGTTTGTAGATCTTTTGTGAGTGTCAGACATGTGGATGAGTCACAGCCATTGCTTGACCAATTTGCTCAATGTAAAAGTCTGAGAGAATTTTTTCTCTCCATGTGACTCTCCTTAAGCACACTCTACATCATCGATCACTTTCCTCTGTGGCCCCATAATCTCCTTGATCAGAAAATTTGGGACACAACTGAGTTACATGATGTTACAGTACAGGTTCTCCTACGTCCTGAATCTTCACTGACCTTGAAAGGCTAGGGCCAAAATATTGCTACCATGCTGTATATGGTTAAATTTCTAAATTTATGTGCAAAAATGTGTAACTGTTTATTCTTGTTTTAAATTTTTTTCTTATTTTTAATTTTTATTTTTTTCATATTCTGGAGGGACTCAAAGTTTAACATGTCAATACTTGATGGAAAATATCTGTTCCATGTTATGCCTAAGATGTTTGATATTCAGACAGATAGTGAGGTTAAGCTCAACTGCCTGTGTTGTAGGGTAATATTAATAAGCTTCTCTTCTGGAGGGTTAACAACCTAAGTTTGAGTGCATGTTCAAAACTGTTGTAAAACTGTGAACTTGGGAGCCGGCGAGATAGCTCAGTGGACTAATGCACCTACTTAGGCAAGCTTAGGCAAGTTGAGGGACTATGGTTGGATCCCCAGCACCACATGCTGCGTCAGTCCCACCTCCAGGGCCGGCTGAGCCATCCAGAGTCCGGGCGTAGTGGTGTATATCTCTAATCCCAGTGCTGGGGAAACTGAAAACAGGAGGGTCACAAGTCTGAGGTGCATAGTGAGACCCTATAACAACTAAATGCACAAAAATAAATAAATAAAAATACTTTTAAAAAACCTGTATCTGTAGTGCTGGCATCCTCCTATAAAGACATAAAAAACAAATCCTCTCTGATTATTATTTCACAGGCCAGCCTAATCACTAGTTATACAGTATATGCAAGATGTTTCTTAAATTGGTTCTTATATTACATGTAAGTCTTAAGTATACCTTTATAATTTTAAAACTTTGATATTAGTAATGTATATAATTTCCTACTCTAATGCTGATTTTTCTTTCATAAACTATAGTGGAACTCTCAATGGATGGGTGATTATGCCTTTTTATTTCTGAGAATAATTTTTCCCTGAAGACTTACTGTTTCTGGTGTCTTCTTCAGCTTTTTTTTCCTAGCACTTCATCATTTTTCATTCCAGAAGATTTTTCACCCCCTTGATTTGGCTTATTCCTTGGTACTCAATTTTTTTTATCCTATTGTAGGTGAATTATTTTCCTGATATCTTTGCCTAGAAGTTCATTATTTATAGTACAGATTATTTTTGAAAGACTAAAATCTCAGAGAGAAACAAAAATTTTTGTTTCTTATTTTTGTCTCTGTACCCGTTTGTCCATGTCTTTTTGTGTTATATGAAGTGTGATCTTACTAGAAATGCTTTTTTTTTTTTTTTTCAGTTTTTGGCTTATTTTACTACAGTCTTGTAATTCTAAAAGTTGTTCTGAGAATGGCAGAAGAGCGGGGGAGATAATCTCAGTGAGAGGCAGTGACGCGCAGAAGCAAATATGGAAAAGCTTCTGAGTGAACCTTAGAACAAACACAGAAATTAAGGAACATTTTCTAAGCAGGAGTGCTCTGCTGCCTACATTTTGAGGACATTCATTAGAATTTGTGTTTCTGTGGGCTTTGAGCAGATGTGTAAGCCCTTGGGTTGGGGGATGTTGAAAAGTCCTTCGTTTCTTCTAATCAATATTACCACATTTCATAATTAAAGTTTTGTTTCCTTTCCCCTCCTCTCCCTAAGCTCACTGCTATGAATTTGGGGACAGCCTTGACTGCAGCACTATGCAGTTCCAGACGAAAATTTTTGTGGCTCTTCAAGCTGCTATAAACGCTGCTATTATAGAAGTAAGTGCAAAACGTCTGGTGCAAATTAATGTTCCACTGAAATGAATGTTCAGGGCAAAATTAATGGTATTACAATTATCAAAATTTTTGTGAAAGAAATTATAAGAAAAAGCCAAAGCCTTTCATTCATTTATTCATTAAGTTACTCTTTCACTCATTTTTTTTTTTTTTAGTTGTTCACTTCCTCAGGGTTTTCAGCTCCAATCCAAGTATAGCATAGAGATGGAGGTAGTGACAGGTAGAACAGTAATTTCACTGAAGGAATTCAAGGCTGTCAGGAAGCGTGACGGGGAAGCAGGTAATTATTGGAACAGAAGGAGTGTGTCAGCATAGTTATTAAGTTCTTGTGAGTAAAGAAGCAAGAACCTCAGCCTAGCACACTACAGAGCAAATTCTATTGAAGTGTTTGTGCTTGAATGGTGGGGAGGAAAGTTTGTGTAGTTCATGTGGTGGGAAGGAAAATTCCAAGACAGCGGGTCGGGAAGTGGCAGGCATGAAGGGGATAGGACACACTGTACAGTCTGAGAAACTGGGGAAGACTGGTGGACGGCAAGGGCTCCAGAAGCTCAACATGCAAAAGGAAAGGTAGAAGGGCCGTGGATCCAGACAAGTCCACTGTCCATTCACAGAAAGAATGCAGAGGACATCATCTGAACTCACACATTCTGTTTCCTGATGTCTGTGTTTAGCTCACGACAAATCACTCCGTGATGGACGAGTTGATGGCAGTTACTGGAGAGCACATGAAGCTAGATTCCTTCCTTCGTCAGGAGGGAACGATCATGAACCTCTTCATGTTTACCTGCATTACTTGTTTCTCCCCGTTCACCTACTACGTCTCAGTTTATGTCACAAGAGAAAGGAAGAAAATGAAGGGTTGGATGACAATAATGGGCCTCCGTGATCCAGCATTCTGGTGAGTCACGTGTAGTACAAAAAAATAAATCGAGAAACTCAGAGAAATTGGGTCTCTAGATTGGAAGCCTAGGTGTTGGGACCTATCACATTCTAATGTTTTTTATTCTGCATAGAGTAACAGCCCCCCTGTTGTTATGCTTACCAAAGTCTTGCCATGTTTTGGTCTGACTTGAATAAGGAGGTTGCATATCTGTAACTTGAGGTGATGTTTTAGATGTTGAACAATCCCTATTTCTTGCTTTCAGATTCATGAGAACTTAGTTTCTGACATTTAATGAAGCATTTTCATCAGAGGTATTTGTTTTTCATTAGAATAAGGGAAGGGTGATTGGGTGACTTTAATGTCTCACCATTTGAGAGCATCAAAGAAAAAGGTGTCACTGCACAGAATGTATTGAAACAGCTCCCCTCTTTCATTCAGTCAAAAAAGGAGATCAGAGCTATTAACATTAGCAGAAAGCAGTGGGTTGAAGTCTCACCTTCCCACCCTAGCTACGTTTGCATGAGATCTCAGTTTTCTTTTCTCCAAAAGAGGGAAATAATATCCAGCCATGCTGGTCCCTAATGAGACTCTACTCACAAAATCCTAACCTGTATTTTGAGAAGTATGAAGTGGTCAGTAAATAATGACTGTCAACACTTGTTTGCACAGTTTGGGTAATGTGTATCTGAAATAACATAAAATTTCATAGTCCGAGTCCTATTTAACAGAAGCTAATATAATCTTTCTTGATCATATGCTACATCGGAACCATGGTGGGAGTATTTTTAAATGTACATTTTAAACCCTAAAGTTTATTTCTTTTTCTTTTTCTTTTCTTTCTTCTTTCTTTCTTTCTTTCTTTCTTTCTTTCTTTCTTTCTTTCTTTCTTTCTTTCTTTCTTTCTTTCTTTCTTTCTTTTTTTTTTTTCGGAACCGGGGATTGAACTCAGATCCTTGTGTTTGCCAGTCAAGCACTTATCCTACTGAGCCATCTCCCCGGCCCCTTAAAGTTTATTTCTTGAACAGATAGTAGAGAACACACTTCCCAGCTCCTGACAATGTCTGCTATTAATATTTACCTTACTTTAATCTATAATCCATGAATCCCAATTTAAAAATTAATCCGAGTCATCCTTATAAGCCCAAACTATAGTAGGTAAGAGCTCAAGCTGTGTTCCACAGTTCAGTGGGTCTAAACAAGCATGCAGTATCATGTGAGCTCTGTTGTAGCATCCTTTAGTATAGTTCCACTGTTCTAAAGTTGCTATGTGTTCTATCGGTTATACTCTACGCTTCCTCAACTCCTACGAATTATTGGCTGCCTACTCTTTACCATTTTGCCTATTCTTTTTTTTTTTTTTTTTCTGTACTGGAGATTGAACTCAGGACCCTGTGCCTGCCATGCAGGTGCTTATTCTACTGAGCTATCTCCCCAGCCCAAAAGTTGACAAGGATTTTTTGTTTTTCTGGCTTAGACTGCCTTAAGGGTGGGTCTGGTAAAGCATGGAGAGCTGGAGATCGAACCACAGTCCCCTGCACCTGACTGGGTTTGCCCCAGCGGTGCTTAAACAACTGAGCTAACCCACAAACCCCCTATTTTGCCTGTTCTTGAGTGTTACACAGTTGGAATTATATGATATTCAGACTATGACATCAGATTATGGAATCAGACTAGCCCATTTTTAAAGTAGACCACAATATTATAGAATCAGGTGATGGGGGAGTTGACTTAGAGAGCTTCACATTCTCCACCTGAAAAAATAATTTTCATTGTGTGAATGGAAATGGTATGAATAATTATGTGCTGGAATGCTTTATCTTACAATCAATTTTCTGCAAGTTAGCTTCTACCTCTTTGATGAAACAAAATGAATCAGCTTCTTTGCTTTACAGATTTCTCTTCTGAAACATGGAAGGAATAGAAATATTTATGCTGCATGCAGGCTGTGAGATGTAAATTAAAAATAGCTAAGACTCACAAATATTATTTAAAGTACTAAATCTCTGTATGGAAAGTGGAAAATGCTACATAAATTATCTAACTTAGTAAAGTATCACTAACTTCCTAAGTGCTTAATAATACTTCAGTAGTATTTGTAGTAGTAATATTTAATTGGTTTTTAAGAATTTTTGAGAGTACAGAGAAAAAAAAAACTAGATTACCAGACAAAAGATAAACAAGGAATAGAAAATAAATATCCCTCAAAAACTAAAGGAGATAATTTAGTGATATTAGGAGGCTACGGGGCATTCTATGTTACTATGACATGACTTTTACAATATGCAGAATGTTTGGTGTGCATATAAGGCGAAAGAAAAGCCTGATTAGAATTACTCTAGGAAAACAGAGAAGGATTAGAATAATGATAAGGAATCATTTCCTATTTTCATAAATATTTATAAAATTATTTTTACATCAGAGGCCCTTTGCCTATACAGAGCAAGACTCTGTATTCCTTAACTTATTAAAGCCACATTCCTATTACTCTCATTTTCCAGCAGAGAAAAGCAGCTTAAAACAGTTCTGTAGATGGCCAGAGGGCACAAAGCTAAAATGCAGGGGAGACAGTTCCTAACCAAACCTGTAAGACTTCTTTCTTTCCAATCTTTGAGAGATTTGTGTGCATGTTATTTGTATTAATTCTAAGAAAAGGCACATCTTCCTTCTAATCCAAGTGATCTTGTTCTATGTATCTATTCTAGAAGGTTCTATGTAGAATGGGAGAGTGAGGGAGACAGTGAATGTTGGCTGGGTAATGCCGGTGTCCACACTGGGTTCTTGTTTGCACATGGACGTCAGATACTGAAATAGTCCTGTGTTTCCACAACAGGTTCTCCTGGGCTTTGCTTTATGCTGGTTTTGTTCTCATTTTGGCCTTTTTCTTGGCACTTATTACAAAATCAGTCCAATTTGTCATCCTGACTGGCTTCACAGTGGTCTTCAGCCTCTTTTTCTTCTACGGACTGTCTTTGGTGAGTTGCTGAATAAAATCTCTCTCTGTCCAGCTTTCCTTCAGAGGAACAAACCTGGTTTCCAAAGAAGACATTCCTCGTGTATTCCTTTCCTGTTGGCATGAACGACCTTCGGATGGATACTGCTGTTTGATCCGCAGTGCTTCGTGGTGCCAACTGGTAGTCCAAGGCGTAGTGGAAACCATAATTTTTGTTATAAATATTTTGCTGCATTAGTAATGATTTGAGACATATAAGCCAACTGGATGTACTCTCATTGTAGATCACGTTGACTTTCCTGATGAGCGTGTTGCTGAAGAAGTCTTTCCTCACCGGCTTTGTTGTGTTCCTTTTCACGGTCGTATGGGGGCTCCTGGGGCTCCTGGCACTGTACAGACACCTTCCTGCATCTTTGGAGTGGACTTTCAGTCTGTTTAGCCCTTTTGCCTTCACATTTGGAATGTCCCAGGTGAGCATTTAATGCTAGTGACATTTCTCAAATGCCACGCGCTCTGAAATTTAATAGGCTGTAGTCAGTGTTCCGTGCTTAGACTTACGAACCTTTTGACTCTGCTGAGCAACACACTTATGAGGTTGCAAAGATGGACTTTAAAGCCCCTGGACATTTTTTTTCCTCTAGAACATAAGTTCTTTTGTAAGTAACAAGAAAAAAATAAAGAGGAAACACAATCTTTTTTTTTTTTAACACAATCTTTTATGCACAATACTACTGTGCTTTGTCTTCTCCCCAAATGGAATTTATATTGTAAACTGAATTCTCACAGTCTTGTATTAGCCATTTCGCTTAATAATATAAAATGTTATATGATGAAATTCTAAAAAGCATAAAACAAAAGAAATTAAAAGTAACATTTCTTAGTCAAGTATTGTCTAAGAACTATTTCTTCATTCCTAAAATATCTTTTCTTCTCTTTCTCTACTTTTATACTGAAGAGACCATCTCTGTCACTCAATTACGCAGTAAGACTAATAACTAATCTCAACTGTCTCCTGCTTATAAGACATTAATGTCATAGCACCCCTTTTCTTGAGAAATATGAATCAGGCAAAGATTTTCCACCGGCCTTTCCTTAGCAAACCATATACTTTTGTATCATTTTTAGCTCTCACGCAGCCACCTCCTCATCCCTATTTGTAATGTAGTGAAATTCTGAATAAATGTTGGCTTACATAGTCCATCTCCTCTGATTTCCCCACCTTGAGCAAGTCCCCCTTTTCAGGAGAAATGTGGATCTACTGTGCAATTGCTAAATTACAAAATAGTTTAGACATGCCCTGTTTCCTCTTTAAAAAAAAAATCCTAGATGATTTAATTTTGCATTTTCAGGGTCTGGAAGAAAGTAATACAGTCTGTATTATAGCTAAATTTTATTTATTTATTTATTTATTTATTTATTTATTTAGTACAGGGTCTCACTACACAGCTCAGACTCATAGTGTTTCTCCTGTCTCAGCCTCCCCAGTGCTGGGATAAGAGGTGTGTGTCACCACCCTTGAACTCGGTGGCTGGCCCAGCAAGCCCAGGAGTGGGGCTGGCGGGGCACACCAGGATGGGAGGAATCCTTGTGCTTGCCTAAGCAGGATCTTTGTCCTCTGAGGTATCTTGCCAGTCCTTATACCTAAACTTTAAAAGAACTGAAAGAGTTAATTACCTTTCATACACTGGTCTATTTTTATTTTTCAGCTCTTACATGTGGATTTCGAAATGAGTTCTAAGGAGGACTCAACGAGTGACTCAAATCTAATTATAGCTACAATTTCCATGTTGTTCCTTGATGCTTTCTGCTATCTGGCATTGACGTTTTACTTTGAAAAAATTTTGCCAAGTAAGTAGCAGCACTATAAAACTTAACACTATGTTTGTAATTGCATTTCGTGTAGATTATCTTCTATGCTGTGCTACCTATATTTCAAGAATTTGTGCATTAACAGGAAAGAGATGAACATAGCCATGAGCAAAATTCTTTCGGTTATTTATTTTGCAATTTAACTGCTCAGGATTGAAATATAAAGCTGTAGAGTAAGAGTCCTTTATTTTATTATCTATCTATCTATCTATCTATCTATCTATCTATTTACTGTATTTTTTAGTAAGGGTCTACATGGTCTCACTACGTAGATCAGACTCGTAGTGATCTGACTGTGTTCTGCCTCCCAAAGAGCTGAGATTACAGGCACATGCCACCAAGCCCAGTCTCAATCGCCTTTTCAGTGTGGCTCCCGGGAAGGGCCTGCAAGGCAGAGTCCTTTAGTTTCATTAAGGGTGTAGTTAGCTTTTCCTCCATCTCTTTCTCCTTTGTACATTTAGGACATCAGATTTCTGAATGCCCTCTGATTTTTCTCATAACTGTAGAAATTTATCACCACTTAAAATTCAGTGGTTCTGACTTATGCCTGCTTGCCAGAACCACCCAGGAACTTTGTTTTTTTTTCTTTTAATGTAACCACCACTTTATATGTTTATCCTGTACAATGTGACATTATGAAGCATCTTGAACTGTGGAACAGTGAATCTGAGCTCATCCGCATATGCATTACCTCAGCTACTTTTATTTTTGTGATGAGAAGACTTACAATCTACTCTCTTAGCAGTTGCCAGTTGCCAGGGTACACACTGTCATTGCATGCATTCACCATGGAGTAAGACCTCTTGGGTGTTCTCCTTCTGTCTGACTGAGATTTTATGTCTTCCAGCCAACATCTCCCCATTTCTCCTCTGGCTTCCCAGCCCCTGGGAACTCCCACTGGACCATATGCTTTTATGTTCTGTATCTTTTTTTTTAATTTATTTTTTAACCATTTATTTAATTTATTTATTTATTTATTTGTGTGTGTGTGTGTGTGTGTGTGTGTGTGTGTGTGGCCAGCTCAGCCCACCAGGGGGCTGGGCTGACTGGCATGTGGTGCTGGGGGATTGAACCACGGTTGCTGTGCTTCGCTAAGCTTGTTCTAAGTAGGTGCTTTAGACCACTGAGCTATCTCACCAGCCCCTATATGCTTTTATTAGTTCACCCTTTTTCAATTCCACAAGAAGTCAGATCATTTGATGTTTTTTCTTACTTCATGTGTATTGTTTCGCTTCACATAATGTCCTCCAATTTTATTGGTGTTGTTACAATGAGTTTAAGGAAAGACAAAAATCAGTTCAACCCTTGACATTATTACCCCATTGTTTGGAAATAGTGCCATTTTCAAAAACCTCTCAATGTTCACTAAGATGATTGGCCTGTACTTCACATTTTTTGGTCAGGTATTTTTAATAAATGATGCTGGAAAAACTGGCTTTCCACATGCCAAAGACTAAAACTAGAACCTTGTGTACTACCATACACTAAACTAAAGTCAAAATGGTGCAAAAATCTAAACAGTAAAAGAAAAATAAAGAAGCCCCTTGACCGGCTCTACTGAAGCCTCTGAGGGAGGTGGGCTCCGCTCTCAGGTTCAGTGTCCCAATGTCTAGTGCCAGCACCAGTGACAAGAGTCAGGAGAAGCCACAGGAGATCACGGATACAGCAGAAGATTATGTTAAAGAGAGGTATGGAATATCTTCAATGATACAATCAGAAGAGAAACCAGATCGAGTTTGTGCTTTGGTTAAGCGTTTGATGGTACAAAAAGCTGATGGAGTTGTTTGGGTGCCTGCAAGAGATCATACAAGCAAGCAGATGGTTAAATTTGCCGCCAACATCAACAAAGAAAGCATCGTAGGTGTAGAAGGGCATGGTGAGAAAAGTGAATCGAAAAATTGGAAGCTGTACACGGCAATATGTTCATTTGTGTCATAAGTTTGGCTGAACTCTGCCTGCCTCTACAGCTGGATGATGCTAGTTGGCATGAGGTAGAAGGAGAAGAGGAAGGAAGAGCTACCGTTAACCAAGATACAAGACTAGACAACAAAATTATTGATCTTAGGACATCAACTAGTCAGGCAATCTTCCGTCTCCAATCAGGCATCTGCCATCTCTTCAAAGAAACTCTAATTAACAAAGGATTTGTGGAAATCCAAACTCCTAAAATAATTTCAGCTGCCAGTGAAGGAGGTGCCAATGTAGTTACTGTGTCATATTTTAAGAATAATTCATAGTTAGCTCAGTCCCCACAACTGTATAAGCAAATGTGCATTTGTGCCAACTTTGACAAGGTTTTCTGTATTGGACAAATATTCAGAGCTGAAGACTCCAATACCCACAGACATCTAACTGAATTTGTTGGTTTGGTCATTGAAATGGGGAGATGGCTCAGTGGAATAAGTGCTTTCCTGGCAAGTACAAGGGCCTGAGTTCAATCCCCAGTTCCGCAAAAAAAAAAAAAAAAAAAAGAAATTGTAGAAGAAATTTCTGACTCCTTGGTACAAATATTGAAAGGACTTCAAGAAAGGTTTCAGACTGAAATTCAAACAGTGAATAAACAATTTCCACGTGAATCATTCAAGTTTTTGGAACCAACTTTAAGGCTAGAATATCACGAAGCATTGGCCATACTTAGAGAAGCTGGAGTTGAAATGGGAGATGAGGAAGACCCGAGTACACCAAATGAAAAACTGTTGCGTCATTTGGTAAATGAAAAGTATAATACAGATTTTTATATTCTTGATAAATATCCATTGACTATAAGACCTTTCTGTGCTATGCCTGGCTGATACAACTCAGAGGGTCGGGTACATCCTGGGTACTCGGTAAAGTTTTGTGCACCTACCTGGGATGTCATCCATGCCCAAGGACAGACACTGTGTCTTGGTCTTGCTTGCCCTTATTGCCCATGCCAATGAAGTAACCAAGACGCATCTGCAAAAGGCCACAAGTAAACACAGGGAGAAAAGGAGACAGGTAAATCAGTGAGGGAAGAGATTCAGAGGGCTTTCTTAATTTAGTTCACTGACCTTGTTGATTTGAGAGAATACTTTATACAAGATCAGTATGCTGAAATGCTTAGAATACAACATTTTACTTGATTTCTCATCCTTTGCCAATATATTCGTGATATGGTATAGTAGCTTATATATTGGGGCATATACATTGGACTTTGCCTTTGTTCACATGTGTAGTGTTTAAATGATGTACTTAGAGTTTCACCTTCTAGTTTGCTTATCACTGACAAAAAGTGGTGGAATATAAAGAAAAAAAATTATTTACTCAATGTTAATAATCCAGTAATATTTGTCTAATTTGTACGAAGTTCTTTAAGAAATGATTAAAAGTAGTTTTCTGTGTTTTACTGCTTTGTTTTTGTCTCCACTGTTAAATTTCAAAGATGTTCACTCTTCAGTTCAAATTTCATGGGCCCTGGGGAGATAGCTCAGTAGAATAAGCACTTGCCTGGTAAGCACAGGGTCCTGTGTTCAATTCCTGGTACTGCAAAAAAAAAAAAAAAATTAAAAAATAAATGAAAATTTCAGTATTTATTTATAGTGTACTCATGTTTCAATCAACCTAAGACTACTAAGTCTTCATTCTTTTTCTTTCTTTTTTTCATGTGGGGGAGAGATACTACTTGGTTTTCCTCACACCAAGCTTATTATGTTTTATCTGATTTTTTTTCTTATATATTTAGTACAGTGTCTACAGGGTTTCACTATGTAGATTGGACTCATAGTGATCATTCCTCTTTTCAGCCCCCCAAGTGCTGAGATTACAGGCCCAGGCCACCACATCCAGTCTCATTCTCCATCTCAGCACACCCCAAGAGTAGGGCAGCATGGTAGGCCAGAGATTGAACCCCTGTGCCCTGTGTCTGCCTAAGCAGGCTCTTTAATCCACTGAGCTATCTGGCCAGCCCTTGATTTTTTTTTCCAAGTGCTATAGCAAGCAGGATGCTTAGCTCTCACTCTACTTGCTCAATAGTGTCATTTCAGGCAAGATATTTGCCTATAAAACCAAGGTAAATTTATAAATTCCTTTCTTTGGTTATTGACCAGAACCTTGTTAAGTATAATCTATAGTTCATCATTACTCAGACCTCTGTTTACAATGTGAGAAAAACCTATTAAGTATTTTTTCTATGACAATAATTTTGTTATTAAGTACTGAAGGATTCTTGCCTCTCTGTGTCATTTCTGTTACTGTTTATTTTACTTTCATTTGTAAAAGACATGTTCTCTGAACAGAGAGTCTCGAGTGGGTAGTGTTTTGTTTCCGTTCAATAATTTGAAGCCAGTGTTTCCCACTTATATGATGGGAGCCCCACTGGGAAGAAACCTGCTGCTCTTATTTTTGTTTCTGCCTACTGTCTTTTTGCTCTTACATTTTAAAGACTGTCTTTTTGTTGATTTTAAGCCTTTTGTTCTTGAAATGGATCAGTATGATTTCCTTTGTATCACAGGCACTTGGAATTCCCTGAGCTTTTTGGATATGCGACTTTGTGTTTTTCATTCACTTTGGCATATTTTCAGCTATTGTTCCTTGAGTCATCTTCATGTCTTCCTTTATTCTTTCAGAAATCCTAGTTACATTCATTTCACACCACATGAAACTTTTTATTTTTTCTGCAGCTAAAAGAAATGCACATCATAAGCAGAACTGAGGAATACATTAAATTTATTCTGATTCCAGTGGAGGAGGAGAGTTAGCGCCTTTCTTACTTTATTGTTTGATAAAACCACTGTCCTTTCCCTTTCTTAAGATCTATCCCGTGGTTTTATTAAGTTATGCTGGCTTCCCTAAAAATAATCATCATTATTACCTCATTAATAGTCACTTCTTCTACTTTTGTGGACTGTGTAACACGCAGCCTGTGTTGAAACTGACTTTCAGCTACTGTGAGGTCTGGAAAGTTGTTGTTTTACAATTCAGTCATCTGTATTTTTTATCCAATGTTTAGTTTTTATTTATTTATTTTAGTTTAGGGAAGGGTCTGCAGGGTGTTCAGGGTCTCACTACTAGATCGGACTCATAGTGATCTGCCTGTTTACAGCCTCCCAAATACTGCGATTACAGGCCGGCACCACCACAGCTCGTCTCAATCTCCATCTCAGCGTGCCCGGGGGCAGGGCCCTTACTTCAGGCCTGGAGATGGAACCCCACCCCCTGCGCCTACTTGCAGGCACTTTAATCCCCTGAGCTATTTGGCCGGTCCATCCAATGTTCATTTAAAGCTAGTTATTTTAAGAGAAGTATGATAGTAACAACTAGTATTTTTTTTTTTTTTTCTGTATTGCTATCCACGTCAAACAGTTTAAGACAGCATTCATTTTGCGGACAATGTGTTTGTGTCGCTGGTAATCCAATGATTTTTAAAATCATAACTGACCTAACAGACTTCTGTGTGGGCCGCCTAGATGAATACGGACGTCGACATCCACCTTGGTTTTTCCTGAAATCCTCATTTTGGAATCAACAAAAAACACCTGATCGTGTGGCCCTCGAGGATGAAACAGAGGCTGAGTTTTCTAATGAGGCTTTTGAAGCCGTGTCCACAGAATTCCATGGGAAGGAAGCCATCAGGTAAGAGATTATGCAGTATGTGGAGGAGGGCTGGGCTGGAGGCGAGAATGCTGCCATGAACCTGAAGCCTGCTCCAGACAACGGTGAGGCTGAGAGACTCTCCCTAGGTCCATCCCATGTCTCCTATCTAATGGCCAGGTGACCTGGTCACGTGGGTAACTGTCATTGTCCTCTGTTCTCCACTTGCTTTAAAATGTAGGTGTTACTACTTTTTTTTTTTTTTTTTTTTGCGGAACCGGGGATTGAACTCAGGCCCTTGCACTTGCCAGGGAAGCGCTTATTCCACTGAGCCATCTCCCCGGCCCTATGTGTTACTATTAATGTCAGCCTTGACATTTAATAGAGACTTCATGTCCCAGCAGCTACAATTCATGAAAGCCTTCACTCTGCCTATCTTTATTGTTTCCCTTCTGCACTTGGCCAACTTTTCTTTCACTTCAATGAGTCACATTTCCCCCATGTCATTTATGTTACCTATTTTCTTTTCTTTCTTTTTTCCTTTTTTTCGTGTGCGGCTCAGTTTGCCCTGGGTGCGGGGCTCAAAGCACAGTCTCCGTAGTTGCTTAAACTTGCTAAGCAAGCGCTTTAGGCTGCCGATCTATCTCACCAGCCCCCTATTTTCTTTTTGAATCTTTTCTTCCTTGTCTATTTGTCATTGCAACAAAAAATGCGAAGAAGGAAAGAGGACGAAAGCAAATGCCTAGGGATTGAAACAAAGAATTCAAGAAAACTTGTCTTTTACAGCTGTGCACACCCTTTTATGTGTAGTGATAAAATCTCCATTTTGTGTGGAGCTTGTAGCCTTTCTTGACCACTAAGGAAGAGAAAAATCCTCAGGGTCCTCTTCTGATTCATCAGACCTGTTCTTGCCAACTTCATTACGGACTGTTAAAAATTACTCCTGGCTGAAGCTAGGCCTGTCTCAACCTCTGCAGTGCTGGGATTATAGGTGTATGCCGTCGGGCAAGTGCTTCAGAGTGCTGCTCTGTCTATTCCATTGTTATCACCACACTTTTTGTCTCATGGTTGGAACCAGTCTTAATCTCAGGCACTGAAAGTCACACTGGTCAGTGGCCTTGATTTGTTTGTCTCCTTCATATCTTCTCCAGCAATTTAGCAATACAGAGGTTCTTTGGAAGAATGAAACATGGGATTAAGATGGAAGTAGTAATTAATGGCTCAACAAAAATGAAACCTGAACTATGTGTGGAGAGATTGCAGGTGACAAATAACATTAATTGGACATTTATGAATCATGTATTTTCTTAATAGAATAAAATCTGGCAGGAAGAGTAGCTCAGCTATACCAATAACCATAGGTAATTACTCTAGTAGGCATCTTTTTTTTTTTTTTGTCACTGAGAGACAATACTGGATCCTCATGACTTAAAGGGGGAGAGGCTTAGTTTGACTTGTGGTTCTGGGAAGTCTGTCCATGGTCAGTTGGCTTCAAGGAAGAAACTCCAGGACAAGAAGGTGTGGAGGCCAAGCTGTCTGCTTCATGGTGGCTGGGAAGCAGAACAGAGGACAGCCAGAAAGGAAGGGACAAGGGATGAGAAATAGAGCCCAAAGTCATCCTGCTGGGTCCACGCAAACACCAGAGAAGTTTGCGCTACCAATTTCCTGAGTGGGTGTTAAAGCCAATCAAGTCAGCACTCCGCACTGATAGTCACACTTGCCATTTCTACTGAAATAGCTAGGCAAGTTTAGGCAACTACAGAGACCATGGTTTGCTCTCTGGCACAACATGCCATGCCAGGCCTGCCCCCAGAGCAGACTGAGCCGTAACAAAAAAAGAAAAGAAAGTAGGTAATATAAATGACATGAGAGAAATGTGCATCATTGAAGTGAAAGAAAAGTTGACAAAGTGTAGAAGGACAACAATAAAGATAGGCAGAGTGAAGGTCTTCATTTCTTGTCTGCATTCTGACACCACCTGAAGAGACTGGATCATGGTTCCATTGCAAACATCCTGTCCACCTTGTTGCTGTGGCTCACACACAGCGTGGACAGCTTAGGTCACCTTCTTGTCTGGCTTTCCCATCATTCAGCTTAAAGAAAAGGCTGCTTGGGAGGGTAGCGCCTAAGCCACAGCCATGACACCAAAGGAATCAGAATCTGTTCTGGTGGGGTCACAAGGATAAATTATTTTAAAACCTGCTATTAATTCTAATGTGGGGCCACAGAGATGGCTCAGAGGAGTAAGTGCTTCCTTGGCAAGCGCAAGGGCCTGAGTTCAATCCCTGGCTACACACACACACACACACACACACACACACACACACACACACAATTCTAATGTGGATTCCCTCATCATTGTAATCCTAGCACTTTGGGAGATGAGACAGTAGTATCGTAAGTTTGCGCACAGCTTGAGCAATTTGATGGCTTAGGGGGACCCTGTCTCAAGGTAAAACAGTAAAAACAAAAGTGCCAAAAAAAAAAAAGAGTGAATGACAGCTAATAATGACGAAGTGAAGCTGGAAAATGCTCAGATGCCCTAAACACAAGAAATACCAACCTTTTCACTCAAGCTCAGAATGCCAGACTGAAGAACATCGTCACCTTTAATTTTCCTTCCTGTTTTTGTCAGAATCCGAAACCTTACAAAAGAATATAGAGGAAAGCCTAAAGGTGTGGAAGCTCTGAAAGGTAAAAAA